AATAACGCAAGTCAGGAACAAGGAGTCATAGAGTACGTACTACTCGCAAAGAGGAAAGAAAAAAGTTATATAAACTCCCTTCTGGTACCGTCAATTGCGACTTGGAATTACTATCCATCCATCCAACAAAGCAAAGCAAAGCAAAGCAAAGCAAGCTTCTCTTCTTCTACTCTCTACATCATCGCATTCCAAAACCTCTCCACACACAAGTCTATCCCACATTCCTCCAAAACAACAACCACCACCACCATCAATATGACTATCCCTTATCCCTTGATCGGCCCTGAATCCTACGGCCTTGGCTCTAAGCAGGCTCGTCGCAACCGCAGTGCCTGCAGCACCCCTCGCAGCGTTGACAGCAACGTCATTGATGCTGCTTTCGCCAAGGAAGTCCAGTCTACCAACGCCTCCCAGGAGCATTTGGATTCTTGTGCCAGCAGCAACAAGTCTGAGAAGAAGTGGAAGGCTAGATTTTCGAGGAAGTATGTACCATCCACTGTCTATATGCCACTTTGGGACTTGATGCTAACGATGAAATCATAGGTTCTTCCACTTCGCTTGAAACTACACCACACTATACACAACATTACACTACGAACGAAAACAACATAATCAACAATAATAATGAATCGCTGGACGGAATATAGCAAAGCAAAGCAAGCAAAGCATGGGTGTTTAGATGGATTGGATTGCATAGTTGGGAGCATTGGTATTCTTGCATCATGTCATGATTGTTATGGATAATTTAGATATAATACTTAATTAATACCCGCGGGATATGCACGCTCTACATTATCTCTTCTTTATTCTACTTGTATATATAGAAAATGAAAGATAATAACATCGGTCGGAACATTAATCCTTCCTACATAATATACTATCTACTACTGTATGTACTCTGCAGAATACCTGTTCTGAAGAAACCAATTATGAATTTAAATTTATTGATTAATTAATCCCTGTTCATCACACGCACATCATACACACACACCAACCTACTTCCACTACGAAGTAGATAGTTAGATAATGAATGAATGAGTGACTCAAACCGGTTTCAATTTTCTAGAACAGCCCAGACATAAGTTACTCACACTCACAGATAACGCTAGCGACAAAACTAGTCTAGCATCCACTCACAATCCCTGAAATTCTCCTTCCCTCCCTCCCCTCCCGACGCTAACGATTTTAGTCTCCCGTTCGGATAGAACGGCCCTTGCCCTGCCCTGCCACGCCACGCCACGCCACTAAAGCTACTAAGTGTCTATCTACGCCACGGCGATCGGGTCAATCAGTCAATCAGTCAGTTTAATCGAATACAGTGGAGAATAAATGTCGACCAATCACGGAAACTATTTATTCGATAGTTGGGATGATAGTTCTGTAAGGATTTTGGGTATGGGTTTGATCGTTTTCTGCAGGTGATCATGGTGGGGAACATTGGTGTATAACTAGTTTGTGGTATGGGGGATGATCATATTTGGGATTTTAAGGTAAATTAAATTGATGGTTTGCTAGTAATCAGGGGTAAGGGTAGTAGTAGTATAGTAGATAGTAATTTAATGTGTTCATTTATCGCTGGCTGGCTTGGAGCTAGAGCCTTAGAATCAGGGGCAGTCTTTACCACTGTTCGCATTCGCAAGGCGGTGCTTACTGTGTATGTAAGTGAGCGATTTATTGCACAGCATTGATCAAGTCAGGTGGTGTTTCATCCATCCCCTGAGGTACTTAGTAATTCTGTCATGGTGACTGGACTGGACTGGTGGTTTCATGTTACACTACGGCGATTAACTAATGTCATGTCGTGTCATGTCGTGTCATGTCTGCTTTCGGGTAGTTCATATTACTACTACGAGGAGAATTCATTTCCATTCATAATTTCATTCATTCATCGTAACTGCTTGCTTCGCATCTATGTATAAGGTCGGATGATGCCACCCCCTTCCATATAGTATAGTCACAATGACATACTCAAAGTAAAGTTGCCCCATGAACCCACTCCCATCCACCACAGGATTTACTTACTATATATAGCAAGGCAAGGCAAGGCAAGAACATCAAAAGTCCATGATGCCACGACCTGTGGAGACTCAGATGGGACCCTCCTGAATATCACTGCAACCTACTTTTCTAGTTGTAAGGACAGACCCACGGATAAAGGAGCGATCAATCATCAGACAGAAAGGTAAGAAAGACAGGGTGTGAGACTCTCGTATGTGGGTCCAGTCCAGACCAAAAAGAAAAGCTCCGATCAACCCGACCGGATTCGGTCGGTCGGTCGGTCGGTCGGTAAAGTCTTGGCCATCCAGTATGACAGGATAGAAGACAACCATTCCATTAGTTAGATGGTCCCTTACTGTCAGATCCTTTGTTACCTCCCTGACGTCTGTCTCGGGCGGATTGGCCCCAGGTACTCAATTGGTTGATGTTCCTTGGGCTGGTGATGATGCTAGCCTTCGCTTCAGTGATCTGAGCACCGCCGCTGGTACTACCTCCGGACCTGTTGTTGTTATTGTTGTTGGTGGTGGAGCCGGTTCTGTCAGACATTTTGGATATATATATTATACCGGTAGCAGATTGCGGTGGGGTATACTATATGTTAGTGGTATCTTGGGTTGGACTGAGTGGGATTCTCTCGAGATCAACGGTTCAGATACTGTCTGGAGGAGAGCTGGAGATGTCAGGGTGTTGAAGACCGTTGTGAGCGATGATGATTTCGAGATTGGTTTGGTTTATTCATGGTTTATATAGATATTGTTCTCCTCAGTTTGATCTTGGGGATTGACTATTGAAAGATTCTGAAGCTGCTTTCTCCGGCGACGTGAGAATTGCATCGCTGGATTTCATCTTACAGCGCATATTGGAGAGGAGTATACCGTCAATCTGGAGAGTTACTACGAATAATATATGTCAGTAAGCTGTAATTACTGAATTATTCCGAACATATTCGGAGTACTGCAGGAAGATAGAGAGTTCATCATAAGATATGCTAAACGGGACGAGAGATAAAATCTGAAACCAGGGTTATGTGACTTGAAAGCACTGCATTTCTGGTTATTGCCGCAATATAGATGTATATTTTTCACATTGATATCGGGAATAATTTCTGAAGATGGCTGAGCGAAAGCTTAGAATAAATTATGCAATTAAGCTTGTGTGACCTGGAAGGACCGCTCTCTGGGTTGTACCGCAATATCAGGTACAATCATCATATTAACAACGAAGAGAACCCTTGAGACGCACTGAGTGAAAGCTTAACGTCTGGTTAATACATCGAAGTCGCATCTTCTCACGGCCAACTGCCATGGTTGTGGGAGCAAGCCGTAGAACCCATAGCTTGGGATACACGAAAGAGAGACAAGGATTGTGCGCTTTGCCGCAGAGAACAGAGTTTGCACGTGTAGCTTCTGGAAAGAGGACAAAGAAAAGGAAGGGAGCGAGGTTTTGTTGATAGAAGGATGGGGGGAACAATGAGAAAAAGAGAAAGAAGCGATGCGGATAAACGTGACGTGACAATGGGCTCGTGAGTTGCCAAAGGAAAGCCACAACTGAGCTTCTTTGTGGGAATTTACATGGTGGGATGCACCTTATTCCAGGCTAATTTGTCATGTCAGGCAGGTTTGATTATATCCTACTTGTGAGACACTGCTCATAGTGAAGTTAAGGATAAAGCCGAAAGGTTACTAGTCGTTAGTCAGAATGATGGTATGTCTATTGTCTATTGTCTAGAATGCTAACACTATAACCAGTGACTATCAATTACACTGATCTCTGCCCCCCTCCACGCCGTCCACGGCCCCTGCCGCGCGCACTCTTCTGCCTCTTCTCAAAACCACTGCCATCGCCTGGCCCGCCAATACTGGCATCACGTTTGCCACCAGGACGACCACGCGGCGCAAAAGACGAGGCTCGAACCGAGTCACCTCCGTGTCCATAGTTGAATCCGGGAATACCCTTCAACCCCATCTTGCCAACGATCTTTTTGTCGATGACAGGGGGTTCAGGGCATGCCATGCCTTGGATAGCCATCTCATTGGCCATCTGAACGAGACCCGGCTTGTCGAGACGAAGCTGCTTCAGGAGACCCGAACCAGCAAAGAAACCGATGAAAGATGAGTAGGCGCGTTGCTTCTTCTCTTCGTCGATAGTGTACATAGCCTCCGCGACGGTCTCTGCATACGAGGCAGCTCCCTCGATGATGGCGTCGGTCTGGGGATGGGGCTGGATGGGCAAGTGGCGATTGTTTCTCAGGAAGAAGGTCTCCGCTTCGGTAAGGAGGATGATGGCGCGACCATCATTGCCAGCACGGGCTGTACGACCAACACGATGAACGTATTGTTCGCCGTTGGTCGGCAAGCCAACCTGGATGACCAAGTCGACGTTGGGGAAATCCATGCCCCGGCCAATGACATCGGACGCGAAGAGGATTCCGGCAGCCGCTTCCTTGAATTGAGCGGTAGTCTTGGTGCGAGCGCTCTGACTAAGTCGGGAGTGAATCTCAAACACACTCAACTTCGTCAAGCCCCGAGAAAAAGCAGCTGCGAAGAGACTGACCATGTTTGCCGTGACGCCAAAAACGATGATTTTCGAACTGGTCTTCGTTTCCAACTGAAGAAGGGAGGCAAGAGTGGTAAAAGAATCTGCCACAGACGGCATCAGCACATGATACTGGGGGACTCTCTCATGCGTTGGGGTTTCGTTTTCATCAATAGTAGAAATGCTACTGTAGCCTGGCTTGAGCACAACGCTGACCACATCCCTGACTTTGGGAGGAAGAGTGGCAGAGAAGCACATTCCCTGCCATCCGGCGCTTTTGGGGGGAATGTGTCGGATAATGTGCTTCACATCAGCTAGGAAGCCACTCTCGAGCATCGTATCGGCCTCGTCCAGAATCAAGGTCCGGATGTTAGACAGCTTGATGGCCGCCTCGGGCTCGGACAGGTAATCTTTCAACCGTCCTGGAGTTGCTACAAGAACAGAGGGAGCCTCTTTCATGAAGCGCGAAAACGCAGAAGCCCGAGCGGTTCCACCAACAGCAATGTCGCATTTCAGAGGTACTGCCATTTGCGATGTCAGTTGATCACATGACTTGGCAATCTGCTGGGCCAGTTCACGCGTAGGGGTAACGATCAAGGTGGCGACCTGCCCTCTAGGCGGTGCCATAGAGGGATCAAGAAGACAGTGCAATGTAGGTAGCAGGAAAGCCAGCGTCTTGCCGGTACCGGTCTTAGCCTGGACGAGGCAGTCACTGCGCCAATCTGGCAGTTCAGTTAGCACCCGTTGCTGAACGGGCGTCATATGGGTGAATCCCAAGACCTTGAGAGCTTGGAGAAGCTTAGGGTTCAGCTTTCCAGCCATGGTCTCATACAGCACCGTGCCGACGGTGGTTCCAGGACTCTGCATGATGAATGGTTGAGTTTCTATTTTTATAGAAAAACCTGCAACTAATTGCTAGAGGAAAATTTCGACAGTGAAATTATAGTATGACGATTCGGCAAATGGCCGTTTTTACCTGCAAATAGCAAGGTAGTGGATCAGTGAGTAAGTCTGCTCCCTTCTCATCTCCTTTTTCACTTTGTATATATGATATATGATGGAGATGGATCTGATGGAGGTGTGAAGTCAACTGCCTCGTGGGTCTCTTTGAATCTCGACGAGATTTGCCTGCCAAGACAACCCCTTAGTAAGCTGCTGGTGATTGGCTGCTTTAGACCCACCGCCCTGGAATGGAGAGCGGGCCGCCCATCTTTATCGGAGAGCGAATAGGAGCTTTCCTTTGCGAAGCTTGTCCATGGCGCTGACGGGCTTGTCGATTTTTACTTACATAGTAAAAAGTGGCTTTCATTGGTAGACGTGTTGCAGGATCATAAGAGATAAGTGGGACATCCCGAACGTGAGAAATTGCTGGTTGTCTGAGATTGAGACACTTTTCACGTGTAAAAGAAGATGCCTACTGGAATCACTGAGGTCGGGACCGTCTGGACTCCTGCTGTTTAAATTATAGCTCACACAGTTATGGCTCGATCAACCGGTGTCGTCTAATCCGAAATGACCGCTACAATATGACGGGAGCTGGCACGTATAATACTTGATGTTAATGTCACAGACTGCTACAACTAGACCAAAAAAGGTATCTTTCGGATAGTGGCGCGCCTCGATCTGCCGACATCCTTTGTAATGTACTTTTTCGAATAAGAAGAATACGACGCTGGACGGCTTGATGGACTCCAAATGACAAATGCATTGATAGCGAGCAACTAATTGTTTCACACATCATACGACTGCTCAATACTTGCAAGCACCATCGCACTCATTTCCCAAACCCACATCCAGACAATCCCTGCAAGCACGGTTGGACATCCAAGCTCACTGAATAGTGATGGAGGAAGATCCGCTGCTCTGGTAGCCCTCGGTAGCCAGGATCTGGTAGTTGTGAGTACCCAGGTTCATGCCCAGCTTAGCCCAAGCGTTGAAGTGGTTGGAAGTGGTAACAGTTCCTCCGACTCTCTTGTTCTGGCGAACGGACCAGTACTGGGTGAAGGTAGCGGTTCCTTGGATAGAAGGGGCGTTGGTACGGGTAGCCGTGTAGATATCGTAGACGGATCCATCGGAGGTGACGGTGCCCTTGTAGGTGCCTCCACTGCCGGGGTTGTAGTCGCCGTAGGACTCGACGATGTAGTACTCGATGAGGGGGTCAGTGGTCCAGCCATAGACGGAGAGGTAGCCGTTGCCGCTAGGGGTGAAGGTGCCGCTGTAGGTGATGTCCCTGAAGTTATGTGAGCATTTGTTTCACTGAATACCCTAGAGGGACAGGTTGAGAGAGGTTAACTTACTTCGCACTTCCAGGGTTCCAGCCCTTTCCACCAACAAAGTTGCCAACGTTGGACCACTCGACGGAGTACGAGCCAGCGTTACCGTTGGTATAGGTCACATCACCACCACCGTCGGTCCAGAAGGAGTAGTAGTAGCCGTTGTTCTCGCCGGTCGAGCTCGGGGTCGAACGCTCAGAGAGCTTGTGCAAGGCATCCGAACGCTCGACGACAGAGTCGTGGGGAACGGCCAGAACAGCCTTAGCTGCGGCGAAGCAGAGGAGAAGGTTCTTGGTAAGCATGTTGAAGAGACTTGGCTTGGAGAGATGATTCACGAGGCTGGGAGTAAGAAGAGAAGGTCTGCAGCGACGGAGGAGACGTTCCTGATATACCCATGATTCTGCAGAAGCTATTTAGCCTTTATTAAGAAGGGTACCTGCCGAGACCCTGCCGAGACCCTGCCGAGGCCCTAAATGTGAGACCCTGCCGTACCTGAAACGTCCGCTGTGATGGCGTTTAGCCTAGTCGGTGGAGCATCCGTGGGCGATTTGGAAAGCCGAATTGATCTCCCGAAACAGCCTAAATCGCCTTCTAGGTCCTGCAGACATCCTGAAATTATAACGCCTGTTCAAAATAGGCAGTGGAGCTTCAAGGGTCTAGATCGCTGATGTGAATATCGATATCCGCCTGCGTAGCCTGACTCTATTGCTGTGTTGAATGCATCCTGGCTCAATGCTTTATTGTTCATTACGTAAGACCCATTGGTTGACTCTCATCCAATCATGGATGGCATATGAAACCATTTAGGACACTGTATACTACTTTAGCAATGATTATAATCCTACTGGAATCTGGAGGAGACAGACTGCCTGTATCTAGTTAGGAAGGAAAATGCTGGCGTGTGCCAACTTAGGGGTGTATCTCCTGCCGTTAGTGACTTAGCAGAGTGCCACCGCCGCGTTAAATTTGAGGATCATACATACTATCACTACTTATCAAGGAAGGTGCCAATCGAGATCCTTCGCATGAAACCTAATTGGAAAGTAGACCGCGAGGGAAAGGACCGTGCAGAACCGGCTTCCCGACGGTCAAATAAAAGCAAGGCTAGACGCCAGAAGATGTTTTGATATTAGCCTGTGGCTCAAGAAGATCCGATTGCTCAGATAGCCGCCCGATACTTTGTACTATAAGTCTCCACTGGGTGGGGCGTGAATAGTGCCATGACAGTGCTCTTTCCATTCTGAGAATTGGTGAGATACTCTGCCGTGAAATTACACCACTCTTCCCTCCTGTGGCATTATCTGAGGGTCTACGCGTTTCAATATGATTTAGAATATTTGTCATTGAGCACTGCTAAGTCTGTAGGCAGCTGAGCAAATCAACATGAAGTGTATCATTGTGATGCAGTAAAATAGTAGCAAGGGTCAAAACCAGCAAAACCTATCATCAGCAAAATGGCGAACAACTGGCTAATAAAACATCAACTTGAAAAAAGTAATATAGCAATCAAATTCACACTCCCGGAAAAAAGATCATCTTTTAGCAATAGTCTTTGGTATCGTAATCCGGATAAATGTGATCGAGGCTGCAAACCGAGTTGCCGCCCAGATAGAACGAGGTCACTATGATTCAACCATCAGTATATGAGCACGACACAATGACAACATCAACATGTAAGAGAACTCACGATCAACAGGCAGAGTACTGCTTGGGTTCTTGACCACGACCTGGCTCTCTTCATCTGAAGTCAGACTATTCTCGCATTTCAGCTGCTCCGTGCCGTAGGTGGTTGAGTTGCCTCCCAACCACACGTCGACATGCCAAATGTGGCTCTTCCAGTCTTTAGTGCACTGTTCGCAGTAGTCTTCGTTGATCAGATATTTCTGTAGGTACGGCGAGTACACCACCTCGCATCTGTCGAATTCGCCAGGTGCCGTGGCGAAAGTGAGCGGATTGTCGTGGGTACCGATGCCGCCAGCCGCCATGCCGCGGCCACAGTCTTCCGAGATGTCTGAACCGGGAGGATCATTGTCGGGGTATCCATAGAAGGTGTAAGACACTTTGCTGACAACATGGCATTCTCCATCTTGGGACTGGCTTCCTCCCTGTACGGGCTGTGTGTCAGTTACATTGACAACTGCAGTTGGCCGCTGAGAGTCCTCCCCATCAGAAGTAGCACTTGGCTGGTGCGGAACATCACCGGTCGGAGTGGCACTTGTGGTATGAGTGCCAGTTCCATTGTGAGGACCGCCTTCGTTGTAAGTGCCTCCATCGGGATCCATAGGAAGGGTGTCATTTCCCTGAGTAGTACTTACTCCGGTGTTATGGCTGCCTCCATCGTCGTTATTGTCGTGCTTAAATTTTTTAGGGAGCAAGATTGAGAGACAGACAACGGCAACCACTATGGCGACGAGGAAAATGGTTCCGAGTAGGATCGATAGCAGGCGTTTGCGTTTGTATTTTGGACCTCTGGTTGGCTGCACATTGTTTGGAGCTGGGAGAGAGCTGGCCTTTTGATCGGAAGACATGATTATACGTAAAGACGAAAGGTGGAAGTTATTGGTAGTAAATCAGGAGGGAGTGGGCTGATCGTAAGGTAGACAGTCTGTGTTGTGGTGGCTTGGAAGGGAACAAAGAGAAAAGGGGCTCAAGAACCTAGAAGCGCCATGTTGATAGACTCATCGCTACGTCTGCAGGTTGAGTCACAGACCGGGGTCAGCCACGGTTCGGATCTCAATGATGAGCAAACATCAGGGTAACCAACCCATGATGAGCTACATAAACAGTAAGTATGAGCGTGGCTAGACAGCACAGCCTCTGATGACTGCGTAGCCGACAGGACGAGGTTGAGAGCACATCATTGTATCGCCCTGCGAGGCTGTCGACGTGTTGATTGCCAATTCTATTCCATGAGGGCCCAGGCCAGAAAAAGTCGGATACTGACCGTCATCGACTGGTCGGATTAAGTCGACATAGATGACGCCAGCACGCAGCTTCAACAGTACGTCGCGGCGATGCAGGATATCGGACAGGAGGAGCCTAGCACCCTTACGCTGGATTAATCCATTCTTGAGTATTTCGGCCCCGGATATATAAACTGGCTGCACCTAGATTTCCTGAGCGACGCGGGTGTCAGTGCCACATGGGGTATGAATTGTCTCCGTATGCTCAGTTAACTGGGTGATATTGGCGGCGTAAGGCGCAGCGTCGGCGTGGTGAGCGACATACACCATTTGATCTAATATCGATAAGATAGCGTAATAGATAACCTATATTCTCTCGAAATGCTATTGCTGCGATGTATATTGCTGGTAAATATGCGTTCTATCGTAAGCCTATCCAACTTTCTGATTTTTAGAGGAGTGAGATAGATCCTCCATAGTCCACGCCAAGAAACCTGCCGTTTTAGTTACAAACGGCAGGGAAGGGCGAGATCAGGGTTCGTAGTTCGATAGGCATAACCGTATAAGCCTTTACAAGGTCTGAGTATCAAATGATCGTAACGAGATAGAGTGAGGTTCACGATTATCGTCTAAGTCATGCTCAGCTCATGGCCAGTTATTATCAGACTAAAGAATAGTCCGGACCCCGTTCAAGTAGCCTCATAAAGAGGAATTAACTAAGAATCCTTGCCATTTGTATGTAGCTAAAAACAGCAGGAGACGACGAGAATAACTTCTCTTAATAAATAATAAATAGATACAACCGCATGAGGACTTTGTTAGTGCGTTGAAGACAATGCAGACTAAGAGGAAGTGAGGTTCACCCACCTTGTTCGTCGAGATCATTTTTAGCCCATAACCCAGCATTATCAGGCCAACCTAATAACTTCGAGACCCAGCCCTATCCACGCGACCGAGTAACTTTTAGAGAGAGATAAGGCTCAAGACCCGAGGATATCCAGATAAAGAGGATATCCAGATAAACTAAGTCCACTGGAACACTGTGCTCATACTCGCGTCTTCGCTGTAAACGGAGTTAGCCAAGGGTGAACTTTACTCAAGCGCTGTACAAACCTAATATCCATGTAGTCGGCCTCGTTGAGCGAGAGATATATGGTCGATTCGTTAAGCGGGAGACATATGGTCGACTGGCTGGGTCCCATTAACCCGGGTTGTCCAGCGGCGGCAATTTGATAGTTGACCAGATCGCCGCGTGCAAGGGCCAGGATAGAAGATGTATCATAATCCAGCGGGTGATAAACCGCAAGCAAAACACCACGCATAGTAGGGGGGATGGCGGGATTGTAGTTGTAGATCGCGTAGGTCAAGGTATCAATGTCGTCAATAGCTCTCTGAAACTGGTCGGGTCTGTTCCAGTATTCTTCTGTACACGGAAGATATAGCCACGTTGTACTGAACTGCCACTGAGACACATCAAAAAGATCATCGGCCATCTTTAGCTTCTGAAACACTATATGAAGCGGATAGTAAGAAGCGACACGCGTCTGAGCAAATAAAGAAGTCAGAAGAAGTAGGGAGTTGGGAGAGGTAAGGTTGGAAGAGGATGCTGAATGTATACTTCCGCCTCTGAGCAGTCACTCCTTCCGGAATTCGAATTCAATATAGTAATTCCTGGGGCCGGTAACACGGCTTGCCGAGAATATGATAGCCATTCCCATAATTGCAAGCTTATGAATGCAGATGTCTGCGTATCTTGAGATTCACAAAGAAAGGTTGCCTCGGTGAAGACCTGTGGCAGCTCTCATAGATCCGGGCCCAGGGCCCGTGTTGGTCTATAAGGGGTTGGTTAGGTTACGACACGGAAACGAGGGAAGAGTGATTGTGCAATACCTTGAGTCTGACTGTGCGATTGAAAGAGTGCAACGAGCGTCATGTAAAGTGAGCCACAGCAACTAGGGGTTTAGGCAACTTCAAGTACAAAGCCGTATAGTATCTGTTAAAGCCCTAAGTGTAAGGAATCACAGTTCGGTCCAAATAAGGTGCACTAACGCTCGGAGATACTGGTCCTCCGAGGTAGGGCCCGAGGGGCATGTACGTGAAAGCACGCACTGACGAGGTGGCAGCAAGGTGGCAGTGAGCTCAGGCGACAATAAAGTAGTATTCTTATAATATAGATAATGAAAATTAGATAACAATCTTGTTTGAACTCACTTGCCTGTGATTCAATGAAACCCCTGCTCTAGTGATCGCTATCTGGGGTTAAGCTCAAGGATAGCCCAGATTGGGGTTTCTTAGAAAGCCCCACTAACTCTAAACATTGCAATCTGGATAAGCATTTAAGGTTCAAGCTGATAATATTGAGGTGGATATAATGGTCTATCTCATCTCTGTGATCAACTACTAAATTCTCTGCCTGACGACTCTTC